ATTACCCCCCCCCCCCCCCCCCCCCCCCCCTCCCGGCACCGGACCGACCGTGCGCAACTAAACACCGGTACCGGTGTCGAAACACGCAACGTTTCGTCCTCGTCAATCCCCTGCGCGCACGCTACAAAGCTCCGGGAAATCACGGCTCGGTTGAAAGTGAACCTGACCAAGATCAAGAAGATCACGCAGGCAGAGGGGAGGAGCAGGGACGGGACAGGGGGGGACTCCGCAGGAGCGAGAAGCGCGGGGGAGGCGGGGGGGGAAGAAGGCAGCAGCTGGAGAGACGCGGGGGGCATCCTCGGCGAGATGACGGAAGGGATAAACGTTAACCTCAAGGATGTAAAAGTGCCGGAGTTCGATGTGAGATGACCGTAGTGTGCCGTTGGAAGGGAGGGGGGCGGGGTTGTGTGATGGGGGTCTGTTTTGTGTTTTTTTTGTGATGGTGATGGCGTTGGTGTTGGCGTGGGGGGAAGGTGTACTCGTGGCAGTGCATGCCGTAGTCGTTAGACCGTTGACCTCGGATCCGTACAAAGCCGGGGCGGAGCACGCCGGGTTTTCACCGGACCAGTGTTGGTGGTGGGGGGGGGGTTCTTACTCCTCTTCTGCTGCTGGTGCTCCTGCTCGTGCTTGATGCCGTTCTTTCGTTGTTATTGCTCTCGTCGCCAATGCCCAGTGAAGAGTGCTCTCTCAAGTTTCAATCCGTCCCTTCTCGCTCTCACCGCCCTCGCACATGAGTCAGTCCGTGTAGCGCGGTTGATTACATCGGTAAGGAAGGAACACAAGCGTAAACGCGGCAGCACTCGTCTCTCTATATTTTTATCGCCTTTTTTTTTCGGCGGGACTGTCAGCTTTTCGTGCGCGACGACGGGACCGTGGATTGGGACGGGGCCATCCAGTCCGGCCGGGAGGTGGCTCGCTTCGGACAGGTATGGAGGTTAGGTGATGGTGTGATTACCGCCGCTGAACATGTGTGTGTACGTGTGTGGTTGATCAGGGACGAGTTGTGCTCGCAGGAGGCAGACGAATACATGCACGTGGTTTTGAGTCGTTCTGTGGTGTGCTCGGGGTAGCACTCGCTAGCTTTGCGAGCGACACCGCCACGCTTGCTTTTTTGAGGATTGTACAACGGCAGCTTGTGGCTCTCCCTTGATTGGCCTTGAGTCTTCTCGGTTTGTGTCAGTCGTGCAATCCCTATTCCTAGCGGTTTATTCCGCTATTCGCCCGCCGTGTATTTCCTTGTTCCACTCATGGCAACAACCGAAGAAAAAGGGGACACCTCGCAGTTGCCGTGGGCAAGAAAGCCAAGGAGTAAGTCGGAATCCACAAAGTACGAAAATAACAAAACCGTCACATGGGTATGTACACGAACCGTCAAACACGTTACCATGGGTTTTGCTGAGGCTCGCGCCGTTCCAGCACATGAAGAAGGAAGCGCCGAAGTTTCCTGTGTGTATATGCGTACGTGTGTATATGCATACGTGCCTCTGCCTTTACTTTTCAGCCCTCCCTCTGGCACTCGCGGATGGCAGGAGTTGTGGGACAGAATCAACGGCCAGAATCCCGATGAGGAAGGGGGGCTCGCGGCTGGGGGGTCTCACGGGGGGGGCGACAAAAACATCAAGGAGATCCCCGAGGACTCAGCAGTGGTGAGTACCACTCTTTTTCTTGTTTTTTTTTTTTAGGACTCGGTCAGGCAACTCGAGGACTGTTTTTTTTTCTTTAAATCCGTAGCTGAGCTGCGTTGTTCCAGCCAAAGCGGGTGAAGGAGACGTGCTATTTTTATTTATACATATATGTAAGCGTACGTGTTGCGCTTGTTGGCTGCCGGCCAACGTTCTTTCCTTCCTGCCGACGACGCCGACAACGACGACGCCCAATAGATGCTGGAGCTGCGCGCTATCGGCGAGGAGCTGGAGGGCAGGCAGGAGCAGCTGCGGCGGGAGCTGGACGCCCTCAAGGCGGAGGCTCGGGCACAGGAGGCCACCTGGAAGACCCTGGAACGAAGAAAAGTGAGCGGCGGGGGCGGGGGGGTTAACCTCGTGTTTTTCCTTAGTCTTGCATTAAATAGGGACGGGCTTGTACGGTATGGTAGGTGGAAACTGAAAATACCATCCAGTAGAACAGGCGTGGGCGTTTTCAGGCTTAACACACGTCTCCACACTCTTTGAAGTGGTACCACCTGGTTTTCTTGTCCATCGCATGATAAGACCGCTCATCGTTTTATATACGACAGCAGTACCAGCTGGTACCTGTGACAGGTTCTATTATTGGCCAATCCGCTGAGCGCGCATCGAACGGCATCTGTGTTCCCCTCCCCAGGCTAACCGCCGCATTCGGTCTAAGCAAGAGCAGCTCGACAACGCCACGAAGCAGCTACAGCTGCACAACATCGACGTTGACATGGAGCGCATCTGCTACAACATCGAGCAGGTGCATACTATTTGTTTACGGTTGTGTGTACCACACCCGTTGGTCCACAATGGAGCTACGTATAGGCTGCATGGGCCTGAAGGTCTGTCTCAACTCTCTCTCTCTCTCTCTCTCTCTCTCTCTCTCTCTCTCTCTCGACGGGGTTGAACGTGCATTCATTTGGAGTGCGTCAATGTGAGTAGTCAGAAAGCTACAATGCAGGGGATGCTGATTAAATAGGAAGCCCACGCCAAAGAGTCTGGGAGTAAGTGCTCTCTCACCAGCATGAGCAGCAATATTGTATCTTCGCTCGTTGAATTGAGCCTTCGACCCGACCAACATTTACGCCCACCCACGACCGTTGACAGTCGCAGTACAGTACGACGGCCACGCCGTTCTCAAGTACTGTACCGCATTTCACGCCCCCCCCCCTCCTCCTTCGCCAATGTGAACTATCTACGCGCAGTCCTCGAATATAGTACCACCTCACCTCACGCCCCCCCCCCCCCCCCCCCCCGCCCCCGGGGCCCCGGGGACCCCAAAAAAAAAAAAAAAAAACCCGGGGTTCCCCCCCCCCCCCCGGGGGGGAAACCCCTTTTCTTGGGGGGATTTTTCCCCCGGGGACCCCCCCCTGGCCACCCCAAAAAAATCCTGGGCCAAAACATCGGGGGGGAAAAAAAATATTTGGGGGGACGGGGGTTTTTTTACAAAAAAAACGCCCAAAAAAAAAAGGGGGGGGGGGGGAAAAAAAATCCCCCCCCCCCCCTCCCCCCGGGGGGACACCCACAACCCTTTGGGAAGGGAGCGGCCCTTTTTTTTTTCCGCTTTTTTCAATTTTTTTTTCCACAAAAGAAAA